TGGAATTGGGAGGCCCATTAAAAGGGAAATCGTTGGGACGATATCGATTTGATGAATGGAAGTTTTGGGTAGCTGAATTTCGTGTTTTTTGGAGTGAACCAGAATCCCTGCTCGAATTTCATTGTCTGATTCTCCACCATGATCTCCGGTGGACGTCATTCCGTGATCTCCGATCACGATAAGAAGATCCGTGGGCTTCATTGATTCGACGGTTTTTGAAATTATTCGGTCCATCTGGAAAAAAGTTTTCTGATTTTTTTGTTGAATTTCTGAATTTCGGAACTGCGGAACTTCGGATTGTTGCAGTTTTGAAGATTTTGATTTTTGAATTCTCTGATTTTCAAAGTTTCAGGTTTTCAAATTCAAGAATTTCCAATACTTTCAACAAACCTTCCTTAACGTATCCGCCATAACCGGATGGGATGGTCCAAACTTGTGTCCACAATGATCAACTCCCAAAAAATGAGCAATTATGATTGAGGAGGATTCAGAATATTTGACTTCTTCTTCAAGTTTGGCTGAAAAAAAAAGATGAGGAACTATGGGAGAATGTACCCTAAACCATCTAATAGAAGCATACCCAAACTGCCAGCTATGTGCCTATACATCTTATTTCCTGTAAAAAAGATATAAGAACGGGTCAACTGATAAATATTCGTGATATTATGATAAGCATTTTGTCTGTTGACCGCTTCTTCATATCTTTACAGGAACCAAGATGCATAGGCTCAAGGCTGGCGATTTGGGTGGCCTTCTATTAGAGTGTTTATGGCAACTTACGAGCTATTTTATCATCTACACTATTCAAATCATTGATATCAAATGAATCGTAAGCTGCCGATTTGGAGAATTTGTTGGGAAATAGGGAAAGCCTGAAATTCCTAGTTTTCAAATTAAGCACGTTAAAAAGGTAAATACCAAGTATCATCTCCAAAAAGTGTGACATTTTTGCCAAGTTGAGCTGCTTGATAGATGAAACTGTCCTCATTTACAGCAGCGTCCGGCGAGAAATTGTCACCGGCATCGATGAAAGTTGGAAGGGTTCCAGTGGTTAGAGCCTGGTAGTTTTCAGTTTGGGTAATTTAGATGGTAAACTTTGAGCTCAATTATTTCAGCTCCTATCAGATATCAAAGATGTGTCAACTGATGAAATATTTATCATAATATCTTCCACATTTTATCAGTTGACAGATTTTCAAAATCTTTTATAGGAACCAAGATAATCAAGCTAAAAGTTTTCATGGACAGATTCTCGATTCGAGATTCTCGAATAAAAACATTTTGAGCTCAATTATCTCGGTTCCTATCAAAAACATCAAAAATATGTCAACTGCCAAATTGTTTATCATGATATCAGTAACATTTTATCAGTTGCTAGATTTTCGATATCTTTCATGGGAACCGGGATAATTGAGCTCAAAAAACCTACCTTCAATCTTTGCAGAGTGGTTGTTGGTGGATCAGCCAGCAGTGTTCCAATTGACGCTTTTCCAGATTTTATCAGTTTCCCGACTTCCTGAAAGACATCTTTTTAAAATCTTTTATTCTGAAAATTCCGGATTAAATTTTGAATTTTGAGTTTTCCAAACATGGAGATGAACTGAGTCAAGTAAAATTTCCCAAAACAATAATAGTTCAATGAAACTGTAAAATTTGTACCTTCATTTGTCCTTGATAAAACCATTCCGGCGATTCTGAGCTCTTTGGTTTGTCGAGCGGAATGAGAAAATCATAGCGAAGAGCATCGACGAGAATTAGGATTGTCTGAAAAAGAAGATTTCGTGAAGCCCGTAATAGAAGGCCCCCCCCCTGTCAATTTTAAGCTCAATTATTTCAATTCCTGTGCAAGATATCAAAAAGCTGTTAACTAGTAAAATAGTTTTGATATTATGATAAACAATTTATCAGTTGATAACTTTTCTGTATCTTTGACAGCAACCGAGATAAATCGGTTCAAAGTTAAAAGTTAGGTGTGGCATTTTATCGGAACTGAAACTCTGTTTTATTTCGCTTTTTTTTCAAAAACTTCTGTTTCAGTATTCCTACCAGAGATGAGCGGAAGAGATTTACGGAAATTTACGGAAGACGGTTTATCTTCGAAATGAAAAATGCTACCACAAAGCTGTCCACAGACAAAATGTAGATCTCAATGACAGCTATCG